CGCAATTCTGCTTTTTTGTTAAATGGCTTAGGCGAACACATTTTTAAAAATAAATATGTTATTATTGATACTGAGAAGGTTTAGAGGAAAAGGTCGAATCACTAAACAAATAATATTTCTGATCCACTATTTACAAGATAGAAATACACATTTCACTTGCAATTTATGAAACACCAAAACTTGTAACGGACTTTATATTAATGTCTTATTTACCTTAAATTAATTTTATTTATTTATGTGTTCCAAAATATTACGAATGTACGGAGGGTTTTAATAAGTATGTCTAATGTCGTTTAGTTGCCGTTTTAAAAAGCTATCTTACTCAGATTTTCCACGGTGATTCTTTACGTTTGACCTCCATTTATTTTACCTTAAAATATTTTTGTTTCGGGTGAAAAGTGTGACTTTAGTGCTAAAATTAGAACACAGAGTTAATCTCAAGTTTATGTCGTAAGTTAATGGTGAAGAAACTTTACTTTTTATATACTTTTTGTCTTACTCAATTTACCTCCATGTCGTCACTGAAAGAAAAGTATCTATGTTAAAGCAAACCTTTAAATCCCTTCAACGACCCTTGGGTGTCCCTGGACCCCAGTTTCCCTATACGACCCCGTGCGCTCTAGAAGCCATGCAGAGTGGGGGGAAACACTGAAAAAAAGGGTCAATCCTCGGTCACGGTTTGACTTTTGTTGTCACAGCACCACCCAAAGCTAAACAACAGTTTACTGGGTAAACAAGCACCTCAACAATGCATTCACAGTTCAACTACGACGGCCTGTTTGACCAAAACACTTTCAGATTCCGTGTTAAACTGTTAAAAAAATGACCTCAGCGCGGTGAGATAGGGCGATTTCACTGGTCCGACCGTCAGAATCCAGCACTGCGCGGCTGATGTTTCCCATTAAGGACCTGAGATAAACACGTGGACGATGACAGATGTTTAACTCAAACCATTAGGGCTTTGGTGCGGATGACTAAAGGTTTAAAGCTTATGACTTAACAAACTGATGCAGGAATTGGATTCCTATTACAATTCAAAGTGACTGAAACAGACGTCTTGTAGGCGACCAAGCATATTGTGCCAGTATACTGAGTTAATTACAGCATTTTTTTTTAGCTTTTCAAATAACAGTAGAAACAAAAATAAGTTTGAATTTCAACTGAAATATCTGGCGTGTCTTCCTAACTACATAGACGCAAATTTTAAAATTATTTTTGTGAAAACTGCGAAGCAAACAAAAAAAATAAATAAGTAAATTAATAAAAGTAAATTTAAACGAATACAAAGAGGCACTTGGGAAATACTATCATTGCAAAAAATAATCCACCAATTGTGAAAAAGATTAACTTATTGTATAATTAAATTAAACCGATAACATTTAAAAAAGAGATAGAATAATAGAATAGAATAATAAAATGTTATTAATATCAGCTCAAACATTCACCAATATTTAAATTTAAAGTGAATTTGGAAAACAAGGAAGAAGCCCTCCAAAGTCTACATAAGAAAGAAATGATAAACTTCTAAAGCAAACTGCATGACAACAATAATAATAATAAAGTGTCTAGGTTTTTATTCAGTTTCAAATCAAAGTAAAATTAATTATTTTACTATATTTTAACCGAATTAAAATATTTGAAAGATATTTTTCTATTTTAATTTGAAATATGCATTTTTTTCTGTTTTGTTTACGTTTTCTTCTCTCACTAACAATAATTGTATTAATGGCCTTCTACTCCAGCATATTGAGAGCGATTCTTAATTAGTGATTAGTGTGTATTTTAGACTGTTTCGGCAACCAATTAAACACTTCGGATTTTTAAAAAATGTTTTATATTTTTATACTGCAAATAAATTATGAAACAGACCATTTCTAAAAGGTGATTTAGTTTAAAAGCTCAAGTACACTGCCTGGTGGTGACTGACAAATACTTTTGAAATACTTGTTGAAGCGTTCACTTTACATTATATTGTTGCATAAAAAATAGTTTGTGGCGGTGTCTTTCCTCCTGCATGATTTATGAGAGCCAAAAGAGAAGCAGTTGATGAAAAAAGACCCACAGGCTACAAACCTGAGAGCAAACAAATCTGTACGTCTATACACACATATCCGCCTGGAAACACAGTACTGCATATAAGAAATCTAAATGTGACAGTTTGAAAGTATTAAGAAATGATTTTGCACGTGCAAGCACATATGCACACACACACACACACACACACACACACACACACACACACACATGCAAACACACACAAAAAATTGAAATATAACTCCAAAGATTGCATCTCTACTTAGTCTTAAAAGACTATTAATTTATGATAAACTTGATAAAATCGGGAAAATAGAGGAATGGGGTTTCAAAATAAGCACATTATAGAAAGTTCAAAATCTGGGTCATTACACCATCCATTGTAAATTTTAATTGGACACTGATATCAAAATTTGTTGCTCAAAACCTTTGCAATTAAGTTTCATGCCTCCAGTGTGTCAGAGAAACTGCTGAGTAGCCTATGCAAATACAAGGTGAAGGCAGATAACTGCAGAAATAATTGTCATGTCCTCACACTGCAAAGTTCATTTGCTTTTTTTTCACATTTTTACAATGTGTTTGTGTGTGTGTGCGTATATGTGTGTGAGTGAGAGTGGGTGCATGTGCACCTGCATGCACACATAAAACACATTATAGAATCCGGAAATTAAAAAGAGTAAACATCATCATCAGGCATTGCAAACAATGATGCGGGGATATGACCACAGACAGTAATATTCTTTTCAAGGTCAGTGAAGATGATTTTCAGAGCTTTACATATGAATGAAATAAGCAGACTGTGCTATTACATATTCAAGCAAGTTTGTCGAGTTTGTTTATAGTCAACTGTAGCATTATACAGTGCATAAACACACACACACACGCACAGGGCACAACAGAGTAAAAAACAAATGAAGAAAAGCAGAGAGCCTCCCTCAGACATAAAGTGTTGGAAACCCAGAGAGACTGAGAGACAGAGAGACAGAAGTCACTCATCAGGGTAGTCGAGGTATTGGCACGTCTGCACTCATTGACCACTCCCCTGTTGTGATTGGCAGCCAAAATGAATTCCTCCATCGACAGATGTGCATCTCCATGTGCCGATAAAGGGACGGAGCCGATGGAGGGATTGA